CGGCATTTATATTTCCCCTACAATCAAAGAGTATTCTGAACCCCACCAAAGATGAAATCGAGCCAAACTTGGCACACAGTTCTCCCATGACCAACAGAAAACACCAGAAGAATTTGGTGGACATTGACCTTGATTTTGGGAGTTGTAGTTCACCTATATCCAAAGAGCACTGTGGACTCAAACAATGATGGAGCTGGACCAAACTTGGCACGAATATTCCATATGCCCAAATATGATCACAAATAGAGTTTGGGGGAAATACATCTTGACTTTTCGGAGTTGTCATTACTGGGATTTACAGTTCACCTACAATCAAAGAGCATTCTGAACCCTGAAAATGACAGAATTGGGGCAAACTCCCACACAGAACCCCCATGACCAACAGAAAATACTTAAGGCCATCCAGTCCAACTCCCTTCACCAGGGCAAGAAAATGTAACCAAAGCCCGCCTGACAAAGAGCCATCCAGCCATAGAGACAGACAGACAGACAGACAGACAGATAGGGAGTTGTAGTTGCTGGGATTTATAGTTCACCTACAATCAAATAGCATGATAGAATTGAACCAACCAGGGCATACAGGACTCCCATGACCAACAGAAAACACTAGAAGGGTTTGGTGGGCATTGACCTTGAGTTTGGGAGTTGTAGTTCACCTACATCCAAAGACCACTGTGGACTCAAACAATGATGGAACTGGACCAAACTTGGCATGAATATTCCATATGCCCAAATATGATCACAAATAGAGTTTGGGGAAAATACATCTTGACTTTTGGGAGTTGTCATTACTGGGATTTACAGTTCACCTACAATCAAAGAGCATTCTGAACCCTATAAACGACAGAATTGGGGCAAACTCCCACACAGAACCCCCATGACCAACAGGAAACACTTAAGGCCATCCAGTCCAACTCCCTTCACCAGGGCAAGAAAATGTAATCAAAGCCCTCCTGACAAAGAGCCATCCAGCCATAGATAGATAGATGGATGGATGGATGGATGGATGGATGGATGGATGGATGGATGGATGGATGGATAGATAGATAGATATGATTCACACACACCTATATGTATATGACAGATACAGTATCATAGATTTAAAAAGGACCCCTAAAGAAGGACAATTATGTTGCATATTCCAGAGTAGGCAAACCAGACATCTCCACATCAACACTGACAAAGAAACAGCAAGAAATAATGTTTACCCACAAGCATCAAGAAACTACATATATTAGAAACCAACACTTTTTAATTACTTTATTTTCCAGATCAACAGACTGGGCCACAGCAATGCGTGGCAGGGGACCACTAGTGTGTGTGTGTGTGTGTGTGTGTGTGTGTGTATTTGATAATTATTATTCTGAAAGAGCTAAAACAACCTCTACAAACAAATATAAAAAGCAAGAATGCAAGCCATAACACAAGATACCAAGGCAAACAAACAGTAGAAATACATTTTCCTAATATAAAAAACCCACTAGTGCAACAATCATCAAACTTTTACTGTATACAGATCTAATGTATCTTATATAAGGGCAGGCTTGTGCGATTCAGCTGGAGGGCAATCCGTTTTTGGTATCCAAATTCCGTTGGGTACCCAGATCCATTTTTCGGGATCCTCCCAAAAACTGGCTAATGGGAAAATCTGTTTTTGGCTAGGCAGCTGAAAGATCCAGGAAGATCTTTGGTGGGAATAGGGGACTTACAAGGTTCCCCTTTCAGTTTTGGGACCTTTTCTTTCTTCCTTCAAGGGAGTCTGGGTTTGAGCAACGGGGTTAAGGAAGCATCCTTTCTGGGAACCTTTCCTATCTTCCCTTCAAGGGAATCAGGGTTTGAAGGATGGGGTTAAGGAAGCACCCCTCCTGGGACCCTTTCCTATCTTCCTTTCAAGGGAGTCCGAACAAGCCGAACAACCTGGATTGGCCGAAGGGAACCAATCAATCCGAATCTGCCTATCTAAAATCATAGAATCATAGAATCAAAGAGTTGGAAGAGACCTCATGGGCCATCCAGTCCAACCCCCTGCCAAGAAGCAGGAATATTGCATTCAAATCACCCCTGACAGATGCCATCCAGCCTCTGTTTAAAAGCTTCCAAAGAAGGAGCCTCCACCACACTCCAGGGGGGAGAGTTCCACTGTTTAAAACCCCTCAAAGAAGGAGCCTCCACCACACTCCGGGGCAGAGAGTTCCACTGCTGAACGGCTCTCACAGTCAGGAAGTTCTTCCTCATGTTCAGATGGAATCTCCTCTCTTGTAGTTTGAAGCCATTGTTCCATTGCGTCCTAGTCTCCAGGGCAGCAGAAAACAAGCTTGCTCCCTCCTCCCTGTGGCTTCCTCTCACATATTTATACATGGCTATCATATCTCCTCTCAGCCTTCTCTTCTTAAGGCTAAGCATGCCCAGCTCCTTAAGTCGCTCCTCATAGGGCTTGTTCTCCAGACCCTTGATCGTTTTAGTCACCCTCCTCTGGACATATTCCAGCTTGTCAATATCTCTCTTGAATTGTGGTGCCCAGAATTGGACACAATATTCCAATTCTGTGGTCTAACCAAAGCAGAATAGAGGGGTAGCATTACTTCCCTAGATCTAGACATTATGCTCCTATTGATGCAGGCCAAAATCCCATTGGCTTTTTTTGCCGCCACATCACATTGCTGGCTCATGTTTAACTTGTTGTCCACGAGGACTCCAAGATCTTTTTCACACATACTGCTCTCAAGCCAGGCATTGTCCCCCACTCTGTATCTTTGCATTTTGTTTTTCCTGCCAAAGTGGAGTATCTTGCATTTGTCACTGTTGAACTTCATTTTGTTAGTTTTGGCCCATCTCTCTAATCTGTCAAGATCGTTTTGAATCCTGCTCCTGTCCTCTGGAGTATTGGCTCTCCCTCCCAATTTGGTGTCGTCTGCAAACTTGATGATCCTGCCTTCTAACCCTTCATCTAAGTCATTAATAAAGATCCTGAACAGGACCGGGCCCAGGACGGAACCCTGCTGATGGCACTCCACTCATCACTTCTTTCCAGATGAAGAGGAAGCCTTGGGGAGAATCACCCTCTGGGTTTGTCCATTTAACCAATTACTGATCCACCTCACCGTAGTTTTGCCTAGCCCACATTGGACTAGTTTCCTAGTCCAATGGGGCTTTACATTCTCATTCTGGTGGTTTTATTTCTTCAATTTTCCATGCCCACTAAAAAAAAACATGATTAATATATTTTGTTCCCCATAAGATGACAGTTTCCTAATTCAAAAAACCAAAATTAAACGTTTGACCCCATGTCTGCTGAAGAAACTTGATAAATAGTCAGTCTTTCTTGAAATTGTTTAGAGATTTCTCCTTAATCAACATCATGAGTTTGTTCATTTCTGCTAGTTCACATATCTTTGTGAACCAATTTTCATGCATCAGGTTAGTTGTCTCTTTCTAGCTTTAAGCATAGATGATTCTTGCTGCTATGGTCATATATAACATTAGTCTTCCACATTTTTCCTCGATCATCTAACATCCCTAGCAAAAAAGAGTTAAAGTTTCACTTCAAATTTAACTGTACTGTTTTTTGAAAACCAGATATATTTGTTCCCAGTATTTCTGCACCTTACACGACCACCACATATGGTAAAATGTACCAATACCTTTCTCACATTTTGTCAGATTTTTTTTATTTTGAGAGTCTGGTCCAAATTGTACTCTTCAGATATATTGGACTAGACCTAGATTAAGATCTTCTGTGGAGGTCTTGCTCTCAGTCCCACTGGCCTCTCAGGTGCGGCTGGTGGGGACGAGGGACGGGACCTTCTCGGTGGTGGCCCCATGGCTGTGGAATTCCCTCTCCAGTCAGATTGGGTTGGCCCCCTCCTTCCTGACCTTTAGGAGATAGCTTAAGACCTGGCTGTGGAATCAATAGTTTAGCCCATCATAGGAATGTTTAAAGTTGATGAGATTGGATTCTGATTCTATTGATGAGACGTGAATGATTTGTCATATTGATGTTTAATTGTTGTTATGCTATTGCTTTTAAATGTTCCCATGATTTTGTAATGTGTGTATTGAAACTGTTGTTGTTAACCACTTTGAGTTACCTAAGGGTTGATAAAAGCAGTATATAAATGAAGCAAATAAATAAATAAATAAATAAATAAATAAATAAATAAAGTTAAAGTGAAAGTTGAAAGTGCAATGACCCAGGGCTATTTACAGTCAACGGCTATGTCTTTGTGTGATATTGGATGTTATTTTATGTGATGTGTTTAATAATGTTTAATTTTCTATCAGCATAAAGTCAATTTTGATGTTTTATGCTGTTTTTTATCAATCACATTGAATTGTTGCCAACACTGTGAACCGCCCCAAGTCCCCTTCGGGGTTGAGAAGGGTGGTATACAAATACCGCAAATAAAATAAGTAATAAATAAATAATAGACCTCCAGAGTCACACACATACTACAGATAATACATTTTATAGCTGTTGGAGAATAAAGGTTCATCCCAAGATAGCTTCTGTGTCAAAGATGTTCCTTCCAGGATGACTGCTCAATATTATCATTTGATCTTATTAGTATATTTGTTGCAATCATTAAGGAAGTGGTTGTATTTGTCAGGAATGGTGTGGTTCTGGATTGCATACATCAGCAGTACACCAGGCTAGAAGAAACTGTAATACAGGACTAGCAAAATGTGTTTGCATGGAAACATTTAATTCCCATGTTTAGGTCATCACTTTGGGGATAAATTCAGCAAGAACTAGCAGGGAATCTTTGAGGACCCAGGTACATTTACTGCTCAGGTTGTCAAATCTCATGGGTTGACTCTGAGCCTCCAGTTTTCTACACAGAAAGCTCAAGGAAAAAATATGATAGACCCCACTGAATTAAATTGATGCACAGTTAATCTTACGTGTCAAGAACTACCCCCATTCCATGGTCTAAAATGAATCATAGTTTCATAATATTAAATTCATTTCAAAGAAATCATTGTGTCATCCTCATTCTCACCTATGTGTAAGTCCCCTTGGACACCATGCTGAGATACTGCCAGGCCAGAGCTCCTAAAACCACCAGGCAGGACATGTAGATGGAGAAGTAATGGGTTTGTGGCACAAGGGCTTTCTCGGGTGAGCACAAGAAGCAAATGGAAGTGATAATTTTTTGGGTTTTGCAGGAGGATGGATCCATGCTGGGGATCTTCTTGTAGATCTATCAGGAGAAGAGACAACATCTAGTAAAAGACTGTCTTTCCAAAAACAGACCCTCCAATATAATATTGAGCACTTATTGGGGCTAGAGAGAGATTCCAGAAATCAATGCGCTCGTTATGACCTATAAAAAAAGAATAATCTGGGCAATCATCCAATGAAAACTACTCAAGAAACTAGAGGTCTGAAAAAATGATTGCCATTAGTTCCAATACATGCCGGCAGGGAATTTTAACTTTATGGAAGTTCATATCATAAATGCAAATCTCACTTTTCATAAGCAAAAACATATACAAACAAGAACATGTGAATTGGATTGCCCTGAATGTACTGTAGTTAGCAGCCAAGTTCAGTCTGGTATTGTATATAGTAGGCATTGGCAAACTTTGCCCCCCGCCCCCCAGGTGTTTTGTGTTGCGCTGGAAGCAAATTCCATTCAGCATCCCAAGTCCAGATGCAAAAGACTCAAAGACCAGAGTGAAAATGAACAGTAAAATCTTTACTCTTTACTTAGCAGAGATGAAACATAAACTTGCAATGTTGCATACAAAAAAACAGTGCAAGAAACTTATATAGTCCTTGTAAGTAACCCAAAATAAGCCATCTTCATCTTAAATCAAATGAGATAGCAAAACAAAAACCTTGAGTAAATAGCTATTCCAACACAGCCTCCTTTAGAGCAGCATAACAATTTCTCTCCAAACTGCTCCCCAGAGCAGAGCCTTTGAGCATAGATTTCCTCAGAGAAAAAGCCCTCCAGAAGCTCTCGTGAACTGTATTCTAAAATTCATACAGTGATACCCCATCGGGTGTGGCACAAGCTTGCTGGTTGACCTACATTACCAGCTGCATATAATAATTACTGTGCTGGTATGGCTGTACCAAAAGCTCCAACTTCCTTTTCTTTCTTTGAGTGTTTGCATGTATTCCAAAGTTCCATGCATTTTGCAATAAGGTGGCTTCCCTTGGTTTGCAATTATAGGGCCAATGACCCATCAATCATTGTTAAGTTTTGGTTCCGCCCCTTTCCCCAGGGCTCTGGGAGAGGGAGCCATTTTAGGTCAATCTTGCATTGGAAAGCTTAGCTACAGGACATGGATTAGCTCCACCTGTAGAGAAGCTTCGTTTCTCACAGCATCCGGGGAAAATTCTGGGGGAAAACAGTTCCAAAGGACTCCAGCTGGAGAATCTACAAAGCCTTGACTGGTAGGTCTATTTGGGACCCAAGAAGCAATTTGGAGCCAGGAGTAGAGCCCACACCAGCAAAGTTTAGAAAGTAGATTGCCCAAGGAGGGGTTAAAAAGGGGTTTCCTCTTAAAGAAAAGAAACAGTTCACGAAGCCAGTTGCCTGTCCCTTGTGGACAAGATTAAGAAAGCCACCAGTTGATTCAAAGCCTTGAAGCATTTGTTTAATTTGTTGAAGATCTAAGAAGTATTTGATTGTTTGTTAAGTGATAATAAAGGACTTTGTTAAACCTTTCAAGCTTCTAAAGACTCTGTATAGGAAAATCCTTAGGGCCTCTCACTCAAGGCACCCCGGCTTCCCGCTGGGCACAAAGAGCAAGTCCTGTTCAAAAGCCAACTGCTATAGGCCCAGCGCGTGACAGCACAATTACCATCATAAGGTTTTTCTTCAACACACAAACACTTGGTCCTGCTACAACTTACTGTAACATTTTGGACTTCAACTCCCACAATTCCTATCCGCCTCCTGGCTGCCCATGTTTGCCCATGCTTGGTATAGTCATTGAAGAAAGTCTTGGGAGTATAACAATGCTAATATGCGATGCACAACAAATCAAAATTTATTTGAAACCTACAAAGACAGTTTAATGAGACCAGTAAAACAATACAAACACAAAATCCAAGAGCACACAGGTTTCTCATCAGATGTGGAATTGGAACCAGACATATTCTTCCTAGTAGCAATTTAGTTTAACAGTCCCAGCATGGAGCAATGGTTTGAGTGTTGGATTACAATCCAGAAGAACAGCATTTGAATCCCCGCTGGTCGATGAAAATCCACTGGTTGACCTTGGCCAGGCCACACATTGTGTCCAGAGGAAGGCGACTAAAATGATCAAGGGTCTGGAGAACAAGCCCTATGAGGAGCAGCTTAAAGAGCTGGGCATGTTTAATCCGCAGAAAAGAAAACTGAGAAGAGACATGATAAGGGCTATGTGAGGAGAAATCATAGGGAGGAGGGAGCAAGCTTCTTTTCTGCTGCCCTGGAGACTAGGACGTGGAGCAATGGCTTCAAACCACAGAGAAGGAGGTGCCACCTGAACATTAGGAAGAACTTTCTGACTTTGAGAGCTGTTTAGCAGTGGAACTCTCTACCCCAAAGTGTGGTGGATGCTCCTTTTATGGAGGCTTTTAAACAGATACTAGATGGCCATCTGTTGGGGGTGCTCTGAACATGATTTTCCTGCTTCTTGGCAGGGGGTTGGACTGGGTGGCCCACGAGGTCTCTTCCAACTCTATGATTCTATGACCTATGAGAGGGTCACCTTAGGATCACTGTACAATGAAGATGACTTGAAGCCACAATCAAAAGAACGTCAATTAAATCTAATGGGCATCAACAACAAAGGAAGTGGACAGGCCTAGAGGTAAAAAGAAGAATGAATGAATGGGATTTACAGTAGTGTCGAGTCTCCATTCCATGAGTGATTTAGTGGATCCACACTGCTTGGACCTAGCAACAGGATTTTGGCTGGAATATGTACATTCAAAATATTTTGCCACTAATGCCAACTCACTTTTTCCATGTACTGGTACACAATGGCTTTGACAGTCTGGATGTTGGTAGCATCCATCATAAGCGTGACAGTTTCCCCCTTCCGGATCTTCAACACTCTCTGGAAGACCTGCGGATTGTTGTAGCACGCTGCCAAGATGGCAATGGCCCTTACCTGGAAGGGAGAAAAGGAACAGAAATCACAAAAAAGAATCCTGCTTAAATATGATCCAAAAGTGTAATCTATGTTTTACATGTGTATTTTCTGCCTTCATGTCATTTGTCAATTAATGGAGACTACATTAACTTTGCAAAGTTTTCCTACACAGGGGATTTTTCCAGCTCTTTCGTCTGGAATATAGCCAAAACACATCGTATGCCATGTCCGTCTCCCATCCAGTTACCAATTAGGCCTGATCCTGCATAACTTCCAAGGATATAGGATATGGTACCTTCGGGGTATTTCCACTTTATACATCAATATTTTATACTAGCCTGCCGCACGTTGCTGTGGCCCACATGGGGGTTCTGTATGGGAGGCTTGGCCCAATTCAATCATTGGTGTGGTTCAGAATGCTATGTGATTGTAGGTGAACTATAAATCCCAGCAACTACAACTCCCAAATGTCAAGATTCTATTTTCCCCAAACTCCACCAGTGTTCACATTTGGGCATATTGAGTATTCATGTGGAATTTGGTTCAGATCCATCATTTTTTGAGTCCACAGTGATCTCTGGATGTAGGTGAACTACAACTCCAAAACCAAAGGACACTGCCCACCAAATCCTTTCAGTATTTTCTGTTGGTCACGGGAGAACTGTGTGCCAAGTTTGGTTCAATGCCATCGTTGGTGGGGTACAGAATGCTCCTTGATTGTAGGTGAACTCTAAATCCCACCAACTACAACTCCCAAATGACAAAATCAATTTTTTTGAGTGAAGGACATGCATTGGGCTGTTAGGTGTCTTGTGTCTAAATTTGGTGTCAATTTGTCCAGTGGTTTTTGAGTTCTGTTAATCCCACAAACGAACATTGCATTTTTATTTATATAGATTTTTCCTATTCTAATATTTTAATTGATTTCTGTCTAATTTGCTAGTTTAAATTTATGCATACACACAATTTTTTACAAGATACTCAGTGTTTAAGTGAGTATCTTGTAAAAGCCCTAAACGACTCCGGCCCTGTTTATCTCTCCGAACGTATTCTCCCCTACGAACCATCAAGACCTCTAAGATTGTCTGGAGGGGCCCTGCTCTCGGTCCCTCCGCCTGCACAAGCACGGCTGGTGGGGACGAGGGACAGGACCTTCTCGATGGTGGCCCCTCGACTTTGGAACTCCCTGCCATTAGAGATCAGAACTGCCCCCTCCCTCATAACGTTCAGGAAACTAACAAAGACCTGGTTGTGGAACGCGGCATTTGACAACTGATTTAATTCTTTGCCCACATGAAAGGAGGATGATGAATGGGATTGTGATGGTGTCGGACGATTTGGCTCTTTTAACTGTGATGATAATGTTTTAATGTGTATAGTGCTGATATTTTAATCGTGTAATGAAGTGGCATTGTGTTGTTATTGTATATTTTTTGTATGTTAACACATGTTGTGAACCGGTCCGAATCCCTCTTTGAAGGTGAGAGGGTTGGTATATAAAACCTCGAAATAAATAAATAAATAAATAAATAATAAGTGAAACATATATTTAATTTGCAACTTGTCTTCAGACCCAAAATGGGGAAAAGGTAGGATATAAATCCTCTTCATGACTGTCTTCATTTTTCTTCTTGCATTACTCAATCTAGTTAGTGCATTTTACTTTATGCATTTCAAGCCAGAAAAATTAAAAATAAAAACTTTTTTAAAAACATAGTGTCATTGTACACTTTATTGTGTTTATATATTGGGTAATATATGCTTTAATGCTCATATATCTGTAATAGAGATGATAGGCAATATTTGAAACTACTTAAATAGAAAAAAATTGCTTGGTAAAAGTTTTTCGGTTGCCTCCTCCCTTGTGACGGCACAAGTGGCACCACCTATGTGTAGAACTGTTAGTTGCAAGATTTAAACTGTTGTATCATGCTTAATCCTGCCTTTTTACCCTGCTTATGTATAATTGGATTGATTGGTTATTTATAGCTGTCAATCAATGTTGTTTGCACCAGTTGAATTGCTTTCTCAGCTCAATTGTTTGGCTCCACCTCTTCCTGGAGGAGGGGAGTGCTTCCCTTTTTTCATTCTGCCATCAGAGTTTCTATCAGATGGACGTGAGTAAGAGACTTGGCTCTAAAAGCCCCTGATTAAATTACCTCTCAGCACCAATTCTAAGGTTTTTTACCCTTGGGACTCATGCTTTATGTCCAGATCGTCCTGGACAACATTGAGGAGACCCAAGCGCCTTCAAACCGGTTCTTTTGGCACCAGAAGAAGGTCTTGTCCCTTCAACATAGGCCATTGGACTGGGGTTGTGTTTATTCCGATATTCACAGCCATTGAGGAAAGAGGAAACAGGAAAAGCTTCTCAGCTGCAAACTCCTTGGACTTCAGAGATTGTAAAGTATATTTCCTTTATCCCTGTTGAAACATCAAGCTTATGCCTGAGAAAGATAACTCATTGTGAACAATAAATACCATTTCGAGTTATCTGTTTTGTTTTGGTCTTTGGGAGTTCCAGTTTCCTATAGGAGGGCAAGAAGCAATCCCCTGGGGAAAGATGCCACATCCATGCCTCTTTCACTAAGAGCTATAGCCCCCAGGCGCGATGGCACATCCCTGTTCTCATTTAGGCGGATTACATGGAAAAGACCACCGAATATTACAAATCACTTTCAGTCAAACTGAACCAGGCCCAAGTCTAGTAATAGGGTGGTATGCCAAAACTTTATTAGTTAGGAAGTGGGACGGGTTATGGCTTTTGCTATTTAACCCATGGTTTCTCATCTGAAAGCCAGAGAAAGTGGGAAGGGGAAGATTAAACCAGAGAGAGTGGGAGCCTATTGATTACCTGGCCAATGAGGAAAAAGACCACAGAAAGTATAACAACTAGAGGGGGGAATGCCATGAGTTAAAAATGAGCCAACAATGTGATGCGGCGGCAAAAAAAGCCAATGGGATTTTGGCCTGCATCAATAGGAGTCTAGTGTCTAAATCCAGGGAAGTCACGCTACCCCTATATTCTGCCTTAGTCAGGCAACATCTGGAATATTGTGTCCAATTCTGGGCACAACAACTGAAGAGAGATATTGACAAGCTGGAATGTGTCCAGAGGAGGGCAACTAAAATGATCAAGCGTCTGGAGAATAAGCCCTATGAGGAGCGGCTTAAAGAGCTGGGCATGTTTAGCCTGAAGAAGAGAAATCTGAGAGGAGACATGATGAGGGCCATGGATCAAGCGGTGAGGGGAAGTCATAGGGAGGAGGGAGCAAGCTTGTTTTCTGCTGCCCTGGAGACTAGAACTTGGAACAATGGCTTCAAACTACAGGAAAGGAGACTCCACCTAAACATTAGGAAGAACTTCCTGAATGTGAGAACTGTTCAGCAGTGGAACTCTCTGCCCCGGAGTGTGATGGAGGCTCCTTCTTTGCAGGCTTTTATACAGAGGCCGGATGGCCATCTGTCGGGGGTGCTTTTAGTGCAATTTTCCTGCTTCTTGGCAGGGGGTTGGACTGGATGGCCCATGAGGTTTCTTCCAACTCTATTAATCTATGATTCTATGAATTGTTCTTCCTATAAATTTATGAGGCTTGCAATGCTTGGCAGTTCTGTTAATAACTGGGATATAGTAGCTTTACTCTGTTTTGTTAAATAAATCTTGACTATATCAGAGTGAGATTTTTTGCTAAATGGAGAATGCCTGTGTCTGACAGATTGCCTTATTTATGTTTGAAGTAAAGGAGAGAGAATGAGAGAGGCACCGTAGGAAGAATTGCTGCCACGTAGGGACCCTTTGGTTTCAATCCCTGACAAGGAAAAGCCTTGGGGAAAAGATCCAGCACAGATTAGCTGTTGAGAAACAAGGAAAGCTGGTTTTAAAACATGCCAACAAACAATCTAAAGGCAGCAAGTGCACCAAAATTGTGAAAGGACAGGGTGAAGCATGGATCTTGTACGGTGTTGGACTCTATTTGCACCAGGTCCCTTGTGCACCCAGTAATAGCTACTGAACTGGGGCCTGGAGCTGAGGAATTAAGCCCCTTCATCAGTTCGGTCCAAATAGATGTCAATGATGTGAAAGGAGATTTGGTGCAGCACCAACCTTTGTGTTCTTAGAGTTGGACAATCACTGGGAATCCATCCAGGTTGTCATTGTCTCCACTTCCAATTATCTGGTGTTGGCATGGTTAGATTGGCTAAAATTCCACAACCCAAGCATAAACTGGAAGGCAAAAATATTTGCCTTTCAAGGATCCAAAAGCAAAACAATACCCAGAGTCCATTAAAAAGCCTATAAAGAGAGAGAACCACGAAAGATGATGACACAAAAAGGAGCCTCCCATGGATTTATTTGAATATTGATATTTGTTCCATCTTCCAGGAGCATGGTTTACGTTGCCTTTTAGCTGCATAGGATAGCATTAGTTTGCACTTCCCCAGGGTTGCTACAGACCCAGCAGCACCCTGGAAGTTAAACAGTATCAGTCTGGAGAGCCAGGCTGCCAGCCCTCTGCAGTTATTGGTTTAGAAAGTATCTCTTTGGGTTTGGAGTCTGCCCTTTTTCCTGGGGTTGAGATTAAATACAATAGTAAAGGCAAAAGAATTTCTGAAGAAATATGGAAACAGATTAGGCACACATCAGGTGGAAAGAGAAGAAGAGGATGAAATGCACGGGGAAGAAATGGGAAAGGATAATGTAAAAGGCACAGATCCAGCTGGACGAGGGGAACTGGAGAAGGAATTTAATATTCACAAAACCAAATGATGCCTATAAAAATATTAATTTGGAATATCCAGAGGAAATGCTGACAGACATTCCACTATCTGGGAAAAAATAATTTGATATTCAGAAAACACATATTTAGTGAAGAGTGATATATTATTTACTAATTTGAAATTAGGGCCCTATTTCAGATATTTTGAATTCTCGAATTTTCAGCCAGAGAACTGTACTGGCTTTGCAAGTTAAAGGTAAAGGTAAAGGTAGTCCCCTGACATTAAGTCCAGTCATGTCTGACTCTGGGGTGTGGTGCTCATCTCCATTTCTAAGCCGAAGAGCCAGCGTTGTCCGTAGACACCTCCAAGGTCATGTGGCCAGCATGACTGCATGGAGCGCCGTTACCTTCCCGCCGGAGCGGTACCTATTAATCTACTCACATTTGCATGTTTTCGAACTGCTAGGTTGGCAGAAGCTAGGGCTGACAGCGGAAGCTCACGCCGCTCCCTGGAATCGAACCTGCGACCTTTCGATCAACAAGCTCAGCAGCTCAGTGCTTTAACCCACTGCACCAAACCCAGAATTCTATAAGGAGCGGCCACAGAGGTTAAGAAGGGAATCAAAGTGCTGTCACTATCCTGTGTGAAATGTCCCACATAATGTCCTCACAACAGGCAAAGTGCCCCGGAGCCGCCCAACCTACCTGGGGGATAGCACAGAAGCTGAACACACCCGGGTTTTTCAGTCGAGATAAGTATATCAAGTTGTTGGGGATGTGATGCAGAGCATTGGTGATGAGCTCATTCATACACTGGACACCTTTGTCAATGTTCTCAGGCTTGGCCAGATCTGACATCTTCTGTACATATTTACTCCACACCTGGAAACATTAAAAGGGTTAGAAATGCTTGCCAAGAAATGCTTGTGCACAGCTGTTGTCCTTCCCCGGGCTAAGGCAGTATTCCTCCTTTACCCTTGCCATCTGCCCCACTTTCAGTATTCTTACCTCTTTTGGCCAAAAGTCTCTGCCTTCAAGTTGGTCTTCATGGTAATCCCGGATGATGTTGACTTTCTGCAGGAAAAGCCCCATGGAGCTTGCAAGCTGCGTGTCCTGGCCAACAACAGGGTCCTCCAGCTTGGATGCAGAGAAGAGCTGCGAGAGGCCGATCCCCAAATGTCCAGCGGCGCAATAACAGTACTGGAGAAGTTCAAAAAATGTCAGGTTTTAGGACAATGTTGGATTAAGCAAAGTGTGTCCCTAGTACTGAATATGAGGCTGAAAAAATGTGATGAAATCACAACCCCAGACCGTGTGTGGGAGACATGTTTTGCATTTTTAAGAAATTGGACATTGAAAATCCAAAAATGTGCAGAGATGGACAAGTTAACAATATTGATTAGAGATAAATAACTAGGTTTTTTAAAAAAAAAATGAAAATGGAGTTTAGTGATGGAATGAATGAAACTTAAATGAGATTCAGACTCACCTCTAGCCTTTTCATAAACAAGTATTTTTGTGAATATGTAAAAGTACTGTTTAAAGTAAATACATGTTCTAGAATAGTGTTTCTCAACTTTCCTAATGCAGCTCTCTCTTGCAGGGAGGACCCATGCTCGCTCCATTGGAGCCAGCACAACATGGGAGACTTTCCATGTTGGGGTGAAAGTGTCCGGAGGTGATTTCACCACGGTTGGGGACATGGCCTATGTCAGAAGCCACACAACATTGTGTGATGTCAGGCACCAGCCTCCATACCCCAGATGGTGTGAAAGCATCCTAGGACACTGATTTCACCCTGTGATGAGGTCGTAGGTCTATTGACGAGTTGTGCCTACAATGAATATTTGCTGGGGGAAGCCACTGACCTCATCCCAGTCTTCATTAGATTCCACCTTCTTCTCCAAGAACTCAGCCATCCCCAGGCCCATCTTGAGGCATGTGTCAGCAATCACATCCTGATAGGCCTTTGCCAGCTTGTGGAACTCCAGAGAGATCTGGAACAGACCACCAAGACTTAATTCAAGATGTATACTTTAAATTTCACCATATTTTTATCTAATGTGGCTCACCAGCAGGTTTCAAATTTGGAGAGAAAGGAGAAATAAGTAAATGTACATACTCCTGTTTTCAAAAATTTCAGAGTTTACCAGACTTGTCAAGCTTCAATTGATTCCAGTGAAGACATGCAGCTGGTTGGAGGGCAGAGTGAGAAATTCCTTTATTGCCTTGGTTGGCCAAAGAAGCGTGCCAGGGGCGATCTTACATGATTTAAGAATCCCATGAAACTCCACCTTTTCCCCGCTTTCCCTTGTTTTCTCCACCTCCATGTGATGAAGTCCTAACAAAGGGCTGGTGCTGCATTTCATTTGCAAGCTCAGTAATGTTCCCAGATAAGATTGAGAGCATGTGGAGGGCGTTTTAACCAAGTCTGGAGGTCCCCAGGACCTGTCCCTTGAGGCAAAGCATTTTGTTATTGCAATATGGTGGCAATGTGACTCCCTAGCCTTCCATAGTTGTCTATACCTGGTTTATTCAGACAGCAAAATCTAGTAACCAAATGTACTTTTCAGATATCTATATTGACATCAACATCTGTCCTATCTATCTATCTATCTATCTATCTATCTATCTATCTATCTATCTATCTATCTATCTATCTATCTATCTTCTATCCACCCCCCACCCCCCTATCTATCTGTAATGAAATGGAGTGAGAAGCAGCTGCTGGAATATTATTTTGTTTTGGCAACTATATTTTACTCTTCCTTCCCTATCCCACAACACACATGCGTCTGGGGATAGTTGAGGAACATGGAGACTTGCTGAATAAAGCATATCAATTCAAGCTGCATGAAGGAAGACAGTGGCTCACCGTTGGGAATTCTTCCAGCACTTGCTTGTCCTTGTCATTGCTGCCCATGAATTGCCAGTCAGGCTGATATAGATAGGAATGGAAATTGTGTAAGATGGGGATCTTGGTTTCCAAGCTGATTGTCATGTCATCCTCCACTGTGTCCATGGCTCGGAGAACCAAGTAGAAGATGCAAACTGCATGGCTGGGGATTGGAGGCAGGAGGGGAAAAGATAATCTGTCTGGCTTAGAGATCTGTGGGACACCCCCACAATGACACTTTTTTTTTCTTTTTTACCCAGATATGTGTTTCTTTTTGATCCAGTTACTCTTAACCAGGCTTTCGGGATTAAATCATTAATTTAAATCATACAGTACTACTTTCCTGTCATGTATCATGTTCTGCAGTTGATGGTGGTTGGTGATGGAAGGGTTAATGTAAGTCTTAGTTCTAAAGGGTTGAGTAATCTGTAAGAGTTCATGGGTGAAAGCAATTAAGGGTGGAGGTATCCAAGACATAGGTTTCAGCTAGGTATTTCTGGATATAAGGAGCTAGCCTTGGGACTGATTTTGGGACTGAGAAAAGTATTTGTCTTATTTTGGTGGTAGATGCTGCTGGTTTCCCCCCAGGTTTGCATATTTTCAGTATCCTGACATGTGTCTTCTGTATTCTTAGAATCCTGGAACCTTGAATCTCTGGACTGGCTTTTGATTACGGTATCGACTCTTGATCCCTGGACTTTGCTCATTGAACTCTTGGCGTTTGACCACTGGACTGGACCTTTTGACTACGGTGTTATCTTGAACCTGCAACAGTGTTTGCTGTCAGTTTTTTTCTGTTTTATATTCTGTGGATGAGTGCTATCTTTATGTTTTGGACTATTAAAACAGCCAAATAGTAAGTGCTGCTTTAATTAAATTGTTTTACACAAACTGGGAGTTTGTTTGGTTCACCTCTGCTGGAATAACAGCAGAGCCCTGGCATTGTGACATCTCTCTCCTTTCCTGACGGGTCTATTTAACAGAAATAGATTAGAGTTCTCTACCACAACATTCCAGTCATGGTATTCATCGCATCAGGGTTCTATGATGCCAACTATATCAAGTTTACTTTGCTAGCCTTTCTAGCTTCATCTTCATGAAAATGAGTAGGTCGGCAATATAAATGAATCTACAGAATTCAGAAATCTTGACTAAAGATTTGTTTTTGTGGCCTGTTATCTGCTCTGTTTTAAATATTTATACAGTAGGCCTGTGTGTTACATGAAGGATCTTTTCCAAGATCTTTTGTGTAATACAGTTTTGATATATATATGAAACGTATTTTCCTCACTGGAAATGAATGGTGTTCGGTGCTTTTGAGAAGGCTGAGAGGAGATATGATAGCCATGTATACATATGTGAGAGAAAGCCACAGGGAGGAGGGAGCAAGCTTGTTTTCTGCTTCCCTGGAGACTAGGACGTGAAACAATGGCTTCAAACTACAAGAAAGGAGATTCCATCTGAACATTAGGAAGAACTTCCTGACTGTGAGAGCCGTTCAGCAGTGGAACTCTCTGCCCTGGAGTGTGATGGAGGCTCCTTCTTTGGAAGCTTTTAAACAAAGGTTGGATGGCCATCTGTCAGGGGTGATTTGAATGCAATATTCCTGCTTCTTGGCAGGGGGTTGGACTGGATGGCCCATGAGGTCTCTTCCAACTCTTTGATTCTTTGATTCTATGATTTTGGCTGAAGTGTACCACAATAGAAACAATTCACAACAAATCCAGTAGAAACAATGCAACAACAATGCAACATATCCAACCCTATTGACAGCTAAGAGCGTCCTATGGCTTCAAACTCGGAGAAGTTAGGAATTCCTAGACAACATTTTTGTCCTCTAGGTCTGAAGTACAATGATAAGGTCAACATCTGGTGGAACATTCAGTAGAAGTTGACTACACAATTGCACTAGACACCTAGAGAGAACATTTCTCTAGGCATCACTAGATCCTCCAGCACAATTTTATGATATTCAGAGTTGAATAACTGAATCCGCATTCAATGAGCTTGCATGATAAGCAGCCTACTGTACAAGATCACTTCCATCCAAGCTGGTGAATGTCAATATGCCCATTTTTTAAAAAGTCAGAGAAAAGTCAGTGCACTTTCTCAGATGTGCTACCCTAGTTGTAGCATACCCTCCCCCAGAAGACCCAAATGGCACAGTGTCTGGGCTCCTTCTCAGCAATACTAACTCCCTCTCCTTCTTCCCAGGACAAATTCACAGGTGAATACACTTGATCTGACTCACCGCAGCTCCCCACTGAGCAGCTGGACAAGGAAGGCATAGGTTGGGCCTGTCTCCTCAAGGTACTGGTAGCAGAGCTGGAGGCTTTTGCTGAGTGAATCCTACAAGTAGAACACAAGCAGTGGGGAAAAGGAGGAACCATTGGTCTGGGGGTCAGAATGAAAGGCCACAAAGGAGATAGTAAATCAGGGAATGGGGGGTGCCTGGCTAGTGTGTGCTTCAAGCAGATAACTTGGAGGTGGTAGCATCAAGAGGAGGGAGGTGTACTGTATGCAATAAGAGTTGGGGAGCTTGATGAATCTAAACCCCATAGCCCTGATCTCTTGGAGGTGGTAGCATCAAGAGGAGGGAGATGTACTATATGCAATAAGTTGGGGAGCTTGATGAATGGCACATATCTAAACCCCATAGCCCTGATCTCTTGGCACCAGGCATGGGCAAATGAGCTCCAAGATGCACCTGGAGGGAAGGAGAACCAACTTTACTAGCACACTTCCTCCCAAAACCCTAATCAGAAGTGATTCACATGGTCACATGAACATATACAAACTGTTTTATTATTTTTTTGAGATTGGGCTTTTCATACCCCAGCAAAGTTGTATAATAAAAACAACAACATCTAAATGTATGAAAATGGACCTGATCTAATTCAGCAGAAAGGCTATAAGAACAAAAAGAAACAAGTAAATTAAAAGGGGGAGGAGAAGAGGTGCCAAGGTAACCCAAAGGGACACCAGCTTACCTGATCCATTTCATAAATCATGGTCTTGTAACCACCCATCCTGAACCACACCAAGTTGTATAGCTCCTTTGGATGACCCAGCCAGTTCTTCAACATTTCCATGGCCTCAGCTTGGAAATATGAAATAAGCAAGGAGTTGATTGTACCCAATGGGGAAATTAGAATTGCTGTGTTCCCACCCCCATCTTAACCCTCTCCAGCTTATTTTGCCCCCTTTAGTTATTACCCTCCAGAATGGTTTCTGCTTCCAGTGAGGGCCACCTCTACCTGTAGACTCCCCCCGTTTCCTCTCTCCAGGTGTTTCTCCCTTGAGGAGCTCCACCAACCTAAGACATCTTCCTCTCACCCCTCTCCAATCTCTTTTATCTTCAAACTGGGAAGGCATATCACTCAGCAGCAGCCAATGGTTGGCCAGAGCACCTTGCTGGGCAGGCTGATAGGGAAACTTATTGGCTATATGAGGGAGAAAATAGCCAAGGAATCCTGAAGGTCATTAGTTCAGAGGTTGCCATAAATTGAAGACAACTAGACAGCAAATAACAACGGACAACATTCCTCGAATGCTTCATATCCCATTTGAGGCATCAAGGGCAGCTCATGAACAAGAGAAGAATGCAAGTTTGTGCTGCTAGAAGAATATTTATTTATTTATTTTGGACATTTATATAAGCATAAATATACATCTTAGGTAAAAACAGTATAAAACGTTATAAAAACATCATAAAAACATCATAAAAACAATAAAACATTACTGCCAAAGCCATTGCTACTGCTAAAAAAGAATCCCAAAAATCAATAGATGAGCAACACATTCTGAAACTTGGAAGGATGGGTAACAGTTAGGGTTGGGATAGGTTTGCTCAGATGTGGTGTAATTCGGAAAAAAATCAGATGTTTTTGCCTTCCGAAGGAACCTCCGCCACAGTGGTCCACGCTCTTGTTACATCCCGATTGGATTACTGCAACGCACTCTACGTGGGGTTGCCTTTGAAGACTGCTCGGAAACTCCAACTGGTCCAGCGGGAGGCAGCCAGATTGCTCACCGGAGCGACATACAGGGAGCACACCCACCCCCCGTTGTGTCAGCTCCACTGGCTGCCGATCCAATTCCGAGCACAATTCAAAGTGCTGGTTTTGACCTACAAAACCCTATACGGTTCCGGCCCAGTGTATCTGTCCGAACGGATCTCCCTCTACGTCCCACCTCGGAACCTAAGATCCTCTGGGGAGGCCCTGCTCTCGACCCCGCCTTTATCACAAGTGAGATTGGCGGGGACGAGGAGCAGGGCCTTCTCGGTGGTGGCCCCCCACCTGTGGAATTCACTCCCCGGGGAGATTAGATTGGCAACGTCCCTTCTTTCATTTAGGAAAAAGTTGAAAACCTGGATATGGGACCAGGCATTTGGACACCCTGGCAGCTAAAGAAAGACCTGATGACGAGCTGGAATTGATGAGACGGAATGGATTTACAAAACTCCGAACGCTGAGCTCAGGATTAGCCTACTATTGTGTTATTGTATTGTTGTGTATTGATGATTTTAATTTTTAATTTGTAACTGTTTAATTTGTTACATCTCGGCACCAATTCTGGGGTTCTTACTTTTGAGACTTATGCTTCATGTTCAGATGTATATGTATATGTATATGTGACAAAGGCATCTAATTGTGCCTTCCTCTGTAAGCCGCCCTGAGTCCCCCCCTGGGGGTGAGAAGGGTGGGGTAAAAGTGACGGAAATAAATAAATAAATAAATAAATATGTTTCTGCAAGGCTGTAGTCCCCTATAGTTTCGACTCGCCTTGCGCGATTGATTTCAGGAATGCGGAAGTGAGTCAGAACTATGATGACGTGTTTTTAATGCACCTAAGGCTGCTGGGAGGCAAAGCCTAAGATGCTTGCCAATTATGGGTTACATTTTGGATTGGGGATGGGTTTGTAGCATCTAGCAGCCATTGCTGTATATAAACCCAAGCACATGGCTGGAAGGCTCTTTGGCAGCCAGGGAAGGGAGAGGGGAGGTTAGACCATTGATGCTGCTGCTTGTTGCTGTTGGGTGTAAGGTGGAAGAAAGGGTTTGGAGCTAGAGGAAATGAGTTTTTGATAATGGAGGAAGGCAAGGGAGAAGAGAAGATTTTGAGAGAGGAATGGTTTGGAGCCAGAGAAGAGAGAGAAAGAAGGAAATGTGACGGCGTGAGTGGTGCAACCTATATGTAGAACTGTAAGTTGCAGGATTTGAACTGTTGTATCATGCCTGATTTTGCCTTTTTACCCTGTAAATGTATAGCTGGATTGATTGGTTATTTATAGCCGCCCTGAGTCCCCCCTTGGGGGTGAGAAGAGCGGGGTATAAGTGCCGGAAATAAATAAATAGCTGTCAATCAATTGTTGTTTGCACCAGTTGAATTGCTCCTCCTGCTCAATTGTTTGACCCCACCTCTTCTTAGAGAGCAGGACAGTGTTTCCTTTTCCATTCCACCATCAAACTTTCAATCAGATGGACGCGAGAGAGAGACTTGGCTCTGAAGCCCTTGATTACGTTACATCTCAGCACCAATTCTGGGGTTCTTACTTTTGAGACTTATGCTTCATGTTCAGATCAACCTGGACGTCTCAAGCGCCTTCAAACCCTCCTTTGGCACCAGAGAAAGACTTTGTGTCTTCAAACATAGGTCATTTGGACTGGGGTTGTGGATTGCTCCGGCATTCACAGCCATTGAGAAAGAGGGACCTGGAAAAGCTTCTCAGCTGCAAAACTCATTGGACCCAAGACAACCAGAGACTGTAATGTATATTTTGCTTTACCCCTTTGAAACTTCTAGCTTATTGCCTTAAAGGGACAACTCTTTGTGATCAATAAAACCTATTTTGAGTTATCTACAGTGTTTTGTTCCTTGGGAGTTCCAGTTTCCCTAAAGGAGGGCAAGAAGCAATCCCCTGGCCTCTTTCACTAAGAGTTATAGCCCCCAGGCGCGACGGCAAAGGAAATGTTTGTTTGGGAGGCAGGGAGAGGGTGAAAATAATAAAGTCATTTCTGGAAACTTCTTTTTTGCTCACCACTAAAGCTTTGCTATTTTTATTGGGGTCGCTCCCTTTTATCCGGGGTGTGTTTTGGGGACTTGACGCTACATTTCCCAACCTCACTGGGTCTCAGCTGCACAAATGGTCTGGATGTGTCTAAAAGTTGGTGGGAATGGTCCCCTATAACCTTTTGTCATTTCCTTAAAAATTCAAGGAAGTAGCTCTTTTATTTTTATTTTAATAAATTATTTCTAAAATTGTTTTTAAAAATTCTTCAACATCGGTGGATCATCTGAACATTTTGAAATTTGGTATGCTAACAGATTAGGATGTATTGTAGCAATATATCAAGTTTCATCAAGACTGGTGTAAAAATGAAGGAGAAGGCTCTGGAGTTTCCCCAGTGCTAATGCTGTTTTCCGCGTATTGCGCAATTGCATCTGCCATCAACAAATTGATTCGGAAGTTTTGGAAATTTCAGAAAGTTCTGACTTTCTTTTTGGAAAAATTGGGAAGTGGCTTTAGAATGGAACCACCAGCACCACCTAGAACCGAAACGAGTTTTGAATCATTTTTTTTATCAATCAAGCCTAGTAACAGTGTGTATGTTCTAACATTATATCAAGTTTCACCCCAATATCTCTAAAAATGAGTGAGAAAGGAGCCCCAGAAGCCCCCTCCGGCAATCACTTAGTGAAATAGTAACAAACAATTAGTTATACTTGTTATTGTAACAAAATCGACCCCTTACGGCAGTGATTCTCAACCTGTGGGTCCCCAGGTGTTTTGGCTTACAACTTCCAGAAATCCCAGCCAGTTAACTAGCTGTTTGGATTTCTGGGAGTTGAAGTCCAAAACATCTGGGGACCCATAAGTTGAGAACCACTGCCTTACGATATTTTAGAAACACTTCAGAAACTACTTGCCAGCACCCCTAATTAAGTAATTGTTAACGCTAGGCAAAATAATCGTGGAAGCACTGAATAATGGACTCTGGAGTCTCCGGTAAAAAGCAGGTTTCAGCTTTACAGTTCAAAGTAGAGCTGAAACCATCAGCAGACAGATGTGAAGAAGACAAAACAAAAGAGATAGGCACTGAAAAAAACAAACTGCAGATGGAAGGGAGGTTATCTCTGGCACTCCCTAAACTTTCACGTGGCAAGAACTCAGGGTCACATTCTCACAGCCTTCTGTAACTTTGCTGTTTAACCCTTCTGTGTAAACATACATCCTGGCAACACAATTCTATTACAATTCTAATCCTACCACATAAAATTACATTTAAACATACATTATACATAAAAATACACACTGACAGTAATGACTATTGAAGCATTTATTTAATTGATCGCACAGGCCTAATAAACACCCTCCTGGATTCATCTTCATGAACATTAATAGGCTGGTAAGAGAATTCATCCACACAAACTAGAAATCTGCCAAAAAATTGTTCTTCGGATGGACGTCACTTTGCAACAACTTCTCCAAGTATGGAGTAATCCTGTCCCATAGGAACTGCTGGAATGTTTCCATGCATGCTGTGCAATTAGAGGTATGGAAGGAGAAGGCAGTACAGTAGAACCTCTACTTAAGAGCATTCCAACCTAACAGTGTTTTGAGTTAAGAGCTGTCACTCATACTGGGTTTTGCTTCAACTTACTAGCAACATTTTGAGTTAAAAGCGTGCCAGAGGGAGCTCTGACGCCAGAGTCCAGGGCTTTAGGACTTCAAGGGGCAGCCTCTGTGTCTCATGCTCTAGTCCACTTTGGGAGATTGCTGCCTGCTTTGCTCTTGTTCACTATAAGGAACTTTGAGTTAGTTGATTTTGCATGGCTTTTTTTCCTGCTGGTATGTTTGGCTTCATGGACAGAGAGAGGGAGAGAGAGCAAGAGGGGTAGAGCAACAGACTAGAATTAGAACAGAATGAAGAAAAGGATGCTTCTGCCTCTTCGTTTAGTGCTTCCTTGCCACAATTTTGTGCTTCTACCATTGTGCCACAACTTTGTGTTTCTACCATTTTAAAGTTGATCTTTCTTTTTCATTGTTCCAAGTGAACGTTCAGTTTTTTTGCTTTGCTGTTACACTAGCTAACACACATTTTGTTGCCTAAAATGTGCCTCCTTGCCGCAATTTTGTGTTGATCTTTAATTTTTCATTGTTCCATGTAAATGTAAATTTAATATATTGTTTGTTATTTATAAAGTACATTTTCTTATTTAAAAAAACTCTACACAAAATAAATGGAGATGTTTGTGGAGGAGGTGGAATGGATTAATAGCATTTCAATGCATTTCAGTGGGAAAATTCACTTTGAGATAAGAGTGCATTGAGTTGAGAGCTCAGTTACAGAAGGACTCTTAACTCAAGATATTACAGTAGTATGATGTTCATCCAAGAGATTGAGTTAAACTCTTAACTCAAAATATTACTGTAGTATGATCTTCATCCAAGAGCATTAAAAGATTTGGCAGGAGTAACCACAGAACTACTGGGAATCACATTTGAGATGCTCAGGGTGCTTCCAGAAAAGCACCAAATCATGGGGTTTTTAGACAGGGACAAAAAATCCCAGGACTTCAGAAGAGGTCCACATACACATCTGTGTTGCTCCCGGGATTTCTGCCTCTTTTGTTCAGACTTGATTCTTTGTTGCAAGATTTAGGAGCTCACAAGATGGCTGCTGTGGGACATTCACAGGAAACTTTGACAGCTGATATGCAGTGATTTGGATATATGAATCACTGAAAAAGCTCCTGGGATAAAGGTTCTGCCTGGATGGGCCCTCAGACTGTAAATCCATATTCTACCATCTCCGCTCCCCTTCTCCAATTAATATATAACACTGAGATGGACATTGAAATCAGGACTTCAAAGATGGCAAAGAATTTCTGCAGGTGTTGTTGTAGGTTTTTCGGGTTATATGGCCATGTTCTAGAAGCATTCTCTCCTGATGTTTCGCCTGCATCTTATGGCAAGCATCTTCAGAATTTCGTGTGTCTTGGAACAGTTTCTCCCCGTAGAGACGTTCAATGAATTGTTGAAAGCTTTCATAGCTGGAATCACTGGGTTGTTGTAGGTTTTTTGGACAATATGGCCATGTTCTAGTAGCATTCTCTCCTGATGTTTCACCTGCATCTACGGCAAGCATCCTCAGATTTTCATGTATCTTGGAACAGTTTCTCCCTGTATCTCCCTTGAGGATGCCTGCCATAGATGCAGGCGAAACGTCAGCCTTCGACAATAGTTTCTGCAGTGTTTTGTAGAACATGACAGATACAGCCTTGCCAAGATATTCTTTCAAAAACGTTTATTGGATTGTAATAATTATAACAATAGTATAATAACAATAATAATATCATGTTTTATTTACTACCCATATCTCCTGGTGGCTCAAGGCAGGGTACAACAAAGTAAAAAACATAAAATATATACAATAAATTACATCGATAAAAACACAAAAATATAAAAACTTGCACCAAACACAGATGCAAAATTGGCATATAGTAGCAATAAAACGTAAATCAAAATTCACGATTGCAAGTTGACTGGATAGGCCTGCCAAAAGAGAAGTGTCTTCAACTGCATTCTAATTTCCAACACCTCCTTCAGCTGTCAAATCTCTTCCATCAGGTCATTCCACAGTCTTCTCCTTGGGGCAGCCAACAAAAAGGTCCTCTGCGCAATGGTCACCAGTCAGGTTCTGGCTGGTTGGAGTAAGCATCTGCCAGAGGACTTCAATGTCCAAAGGGATGGATTGTGCAAGAGAAGAAGATCTCGTAGGTAACCTGGACCCAAGCCATGTAGGGCTTTAAAGTTGAAAACCAACACTTTGTACTTTAAAACCCAAGTGCAAATAAACATAGCAAGTGGGTTGTTGTAGATTCTTTCCTGACGTTTTGCCTGCATCTATGGCAGGCATTCACAGATCTCACAGCCTCCGAGGATGCCTGCCATAGATGCAGGCGAAACATCAGGAGATAATGCTTCTAGAACATGGCCATATAGCCCGAAAAACCTACAACAACCCAGTAATTTTGGCCACAAAAGTCTTCAACAATACAAACATAGCAAGAAGAAAGCAAAATGAAGTGTGGGTGTGTGACTCATGTATTAATCTAGGGTAGTCCCATTTGTTACTGTGTACATTTAAGTCTCTTGTGTTGAGAAAGGCAGGGTAGACATGAAGTAAATAAATAATAAATAGATTTAAGTGGGTTGTTGTAGGCTTTTTTGGGCTATATGGCCATGGTCTAGAGGCATTCTCTCCTGACATTTTGCCTGCATCTATGGCAAGCATCCTCAGAGGCAGTGACCTCACTACCTCTAAGGATGCTTGCCATAGATGCAGGTGAAACGTCAGGAGAGAATGCCTCTAGACCAGGGGTCCACAAACTATGGCCCGGGGGCCGGATGCGGCCCTCCAAGGTCATTTACCCTCGCTCAGGGTCAACCTAAGTCTGAAATGACTTGAAAGCACACAACAACAACAACCCTATCTCATCATCCAAAAGTAGGCCCACACTTCCCATTGAAATACTAATAAGTTTATATTTGTTAAAATTGTTCTTCATTTTAATTATTGTATTGTTTTTAAGTGTTTTTTGCACTACAAATAAGATACGTGCAGTGTGCATAGGAATTCATTCATGTTTTTTTTCGAATTATAATCCGGCCCTCCAACAGTTTGAGGGACTGTGACCCGGCCCTCTGTTTAAAAAGTTTGAGGATCCCTGCTCTAGACCATGGCCATATAGCCCGAAAAAACCTACAATAAATAGATTTAAGTTACATTTCTGAAAAGCCTCAGTTCTCAGCTATGTGCATGTCTTCATCAGCTACCTTGGATACCATGTTCAGATACTGCCAGGCCAAGACAGCTAAAACCATCGCACAGGACATGTAGATGGCGGAGTAATGGGTTTGTGAGACTATTGCCCTCATGGGTGAACACAAGGAACAGAGAGAAGTGACAATTTGTTGGGTTCTGCTGGAGGAAGGATCACTGCTGGGGATCTTCCGATAAATCTACCAAGAGAAGAGAAAAGATCCAGTAAGAGTCTGCCTCTCCAGAAAAGACTTCTCAGGATAACATTGAGCACTTACTGGTCCTAAAGAAATATCCAAGAAATAGGAAGTCCCTATCTGAGCAATTCAACATGCTGATTATGGCTAATAACGGAAGAAAAATATGGGGAGCATCTAACAAAATTAATTCAATAATAATAATCATTGATAATAATGAGAATTATTCATTGGACTGACAATGGATTGACCTGGATTATGACTTGAAGTTGTGTAATTTTAATTGAATGTTTTATATTTGATATTTTAACTTGTTTTAAATGTAAATTGTTATTATTACTGTCTCTGTTTGGTCATCTAATGGTTGCCGGTGGTAAGGCTGCTCTGAGTCCCCTCTGGGGGTGAGAAGGACACCCCCAGAGGTGTCCTTCTCAGAGTATTGTATTTTATTGTTGTATTGATGCCGGCATCGAATTGTGCCTTTGTAAGCCGCTCTGAGCCCCCCCCCCTCCCGGTGAGAAGGGCGGGGTAGAAGTGTCTGAAATAAGGACAGGATATAAATGTATGAAATAAATAAATAATAAATAAATTCAAGAAAATAAAGATATGTACCAAGCTGCTTAAAATATTATAATTTATACAGGCAATCAATTTATAACTTTATGCAATGTGACGTCATGTGTTTACTGTTTTTCTAAAAAATAGCAGATATATATATATATATATATATATATATATATATATATATATTCCCTGAAGAAAGCCTTAGGAGTATAACCGTGCTGAAGTGCATCCAGCTTTTTCACAAACAATACAATTCCTTGAGCATGTACATCTTCAGTTTCTTCTTGGTATGGCCTGTCATCCCTGTATGGCTTTGTTTATATGCTGTCTCCTTACATACAGGTCTGTCTGAGCATAAGAATTTCAGAGGAGATCCTTCTATTGATTCCATCATCCTCATGGGTACATCTGGCAGGAAAACCAGTGGAAACTTCCTTGGTGTCTCTGCCTAGACCAGTAGTTCTCAATCTGTGGGTCCCCAGATATTTTGTCCTTCAACTCACAGAAATCCTAACCGCTGGAAAACTGGCTGTGATTTCTAAGAGTTGTAGGCAAAACACCTGAGGACCCACCGGTTGAGAACCATTGCCCTAGACTTTATTGAAACAAACTTTCAAGAGGTTTTACCACCTATGTCACTTCAATGTGTAGGTGACTTTTGATTCTGATTCCAGCAAACAAGCTTTGACAGGTTTAACCAATCAGATACAGCTTCAACAATCTTTGCAACATGCAGGGCATTTGGTGTCAACTTTCAGGGGTGAACCAACAGATACACAGATTTTGGGGAAATAATTATTTCAGATTACAGCTTCTACAATCCCGGAGTCAGCATGGGAGTTTTAGTCCTCCTTCCCCTATTTTCTGCTAGGCTACAAGGTAGTTTCATGTTATAAAATTAAGACAAGTTCACTGAAACCTATATTTAAAAAGTTCCGTACCAGTGGCACAGCTACCATTTTCTTTTATTTGATATAAGGCTGAAGATGTATAAGCAATTTAACACTCTGCTAGTGGGGTTGACTGGAGGGAAAGATACTAGAGACAAAGTTGAAGTACTTTGGCCACATCATGAGGAGACAGCAAAACCTAGAGAAGACAATTATGCTGGGGAAAGTGGAAGGCAAAAGGAAGAGGGGCCGACCAAGGGCAAGATGGATGGATGGCATCCTTGAAGTGACTGGACTGACCTTGAGGGAGCTGGGGGTGGTAACGGCCGACAGGGAGCTCTGGCGTAGGCTGGTCCATGAGGTCACGAAGAGTCGGAGACGACTGAACGAATGAACAACAACAACAACAAGTGGGGTTGAATGGGGTGAAATAATTGTTGTTAATTGCTGTCAAACTGATTTCAACTGAAACTGATCCTATGTCTGAGAAACCACCAAGAGTTCTGGTCATCAACTGCTCTGTTCAGGTCTATCAAATTCAGGCGTCATCGATTAAGAGTATCCACCTTCAATGCCATCCCCCCCCCCCCCCCCCCGGTTTTTAAGTGGTTTTTTTCTCTAGTGTGATGAGGCGCAAAGGCATCAACCCCTTTCTCCTCCTGAGTCTAACTGGCACAGTTCTCAGAAGATAGATAAAGTCTTTGAGGGACATCTCTGATGTTCTTCCTCTTGTTGGTGTCTGTATGTCTCTGGAGTGATTGTGATATTTGAGTTGAGTTTTTAATAACTCTGATTTGACTTCGCCTAGGAAAGGTTATTCTGTGGATCTTCCTAGCCTTCCTCTCTTCTCACCTTTCACTTGTAAAAAAGGCTGATTTTCCAAGGAATAAGAAGGGTTTTGCCTGCGGCTCTACCCTTGGGAGGATTCTTAAAGGGACAAGGGGGGGTGGCTTAAAGGGAAAGGGGCTATCTCTGTCCCTCCACAAAACTATACACAAGATGCTAATTCCCTCTAACTAAAAATAGGTTGAAAAGGGGTTCTCTTGGAGGCACGACAAAGTACATTATTGTTTTTGTGTGTATCAAGAGAAGACACAGCTAATTAGAAAAAGTAAGGGTAGAAGGAAGTAACAAAAGAATGGATATGATACATTCCTCCCAGGAAACTTAGCCATGAATTTGCAAGGTGTGAACAAGGCTGTTGATAACAGGGATACTTGGAGCTCACTCTTTCGTGGAGTCAATAAAAATTGACACCACCTTGACAGCAATGAACAACAACCACAAAACCTATTTGGAATCTACAGAGGCAGTGAAAAGGGAGGAAATAAGCCAATGCAGTTACAGAATCCAGTAGAATGTTACTTTCAGGTGTGAAATGTGAACCAGATATATTAATTTAGTCTAAGAGAACAAGTGCGGCATAGTGGTTTGTGTTCTCAACTATGATTCAGCAGAATAGGATCAGAATCCCTAGTCAGCCATGGAAGCACACCTGTTGACCATGGGAAAATTTCATACTTTTAGCTTTAGAAAATCCTGTATGTGGATAACATTAAAACTAAGATGTGCTCCTCTTTTTATCTGGGTGAACTGCTGGGGGTCTTTCTTTGAAGCAATAACTCAGTACTTTCAACAACTGATGCCAGTCAAGATATGAAAATCAACAAAATATTTATTTCCAAAGTCCTTGGCAGACTTGGCACAGCTTGATAAAGTTACAACACAAACAGTCAATTTGAGAAACCATAGAGATGTTCTTTCTTTCTCTTTTTCTTCAATTAATGAGGTAACCTTTCTCCAAATGGTAGAAAAAATCCTGAGATATTTCACCTTAACCCTGAGCTGCTCTGCTTAGAAAGAACAGGTCTTTCCCTATCTAAGCACAAGGTCAGTTTTGGAGATGAAATAATGCTCAGTAATACCCAATTGCCTTTCTTAATAACTCAATCTCTATCTATGACTCAATTGCTCAACTGCTTTTCTTTATCTCTATATCTATCTATAACTCAATAGTACTCACAATGGGTTTTTCAGAGCTCCCTGCCTGACCAACAGCACATCTGAGGTTCTTTTCTCTACTGAAGGAGGCAGGGGAGATTCCAAAATGGAGATCTCAAGCCCAGGAAAAAGGACAGACTCCAAACCCAAAGAGATACTTTCTAAACCAATAACTGCAGAGAGCCTGCAGCCTGGCTCTCCAGACTTTGATACTGTTTAACTTCCAGGGTGCTGCTGGGTCTATAGCAACCCTGGGGAAATGCAAAGGAATGCTATCCCATGCAGCTAAAAGGCAATGTAAACCATGCTCCTGGAAGACGGAACACTGTAAGAGGATCATCTTAGGTTCAGTATAAGTTGAAAATGACCTGAAGGCACAAAAAAGAACAATTCAATCTAAGGAGGATCAACAACAAAAGATGTGAACAGGTAGGCCTGGATCCTCTTGGGAAACCCAACTAGAGGAAAGAAAGTAGATGGAATAAATGAACTGATATTGGCTCTCCATTCTACAAATGATTTAGTGGATCTACTCTGGGCCTTTCCACGCAGCCCTGTATCCCAGAATATCAAGGCAGAAAATCCCACAATATCTGCTTTGAACTGGGTTATCTGAGTCCACACTCAGATAATGTGGGATTTTCTGCCTTGATATTATGAGATATAGGGCTGTGTGGAAGGGCCCTCAGTTGGTACTAGCAATAGGATTCCAGCTGAAATATTTACTAGAATATATATATTTTTTAAAAATTCCATCATACTGCCATTGATGCCAATTTACCTCTTCCATATACTGGTACACGATGGCTTTGACAGCTTGGATGTTGGTGGCATCCATCATCAGTGAAATGTCTTGCCCTTTCCGGATCTTCACCGGCCCCTGGAAGACCTGTGGATTGTTATAGCAGGCTGCCAAGATGACAATGGCTCTTACCTGGAAGGAAGAAGTAGAAATTAGGAAAAAAGAGACTTGCTTAAATTTGGCCAAAAGATTTTATCTATGTTTTTTGTGTGAATGCACATGTGTGTGTACATGTCAACTTATGGTGACTCCATTAATTTTGCAGGGTTTTCTTAGGCAAAGAAGACACGGATTTGATTTTTCTAGTTCCTTCAATTCTTGCAATTTAATCTTTAAATTTATCATGTCAACATTCTTCTCAGATTTTCTTTTTTTATTTAGATTAATCTTTTTCTACATAACAGTGGTTCTCAACCTTCCTAAAACCATGACCCCTTAATACAGTTCCTCATGCTGTGGTGACCCCCAACCATAACGTTATTTTTGTTGCTACTTCATAAATGCAATTTTGCTACTGTTATGAATCATAATGTAACTATCTGATCTGCAGGATGTATTTTCATTCACTAGACCAAATTTGGCACAAATACCCAATTCACCCAAATCTGCATACTGTTGGGGTTGGAGGGAAGATCAATCTTGTCATTTGGGAGTTGTAGTTGCTGGGATTTATAGTTCACCTACAATCAAATAGCATTCTGAACTCCACCAACGATAGAATTGAACCAAACTTAGCACACAGAACACCCATGACCAACAGATAATGCTGGAAGGGTTAGGTGGGCATTGACCTTGAGCTTGGGAATTGTAGTTCACCTACATCTACAGAGCACTGTGGACCCAAACAATGGTGGATCTGTACCAAACTTGGCATGGTTACTCAATATGCCCAAATGTGAACACTGGTGGAGTTCGGAAAAAAACAGACCTTGTGATTTGAGTAGTTGCTGGGATTTATAGTTCACCTACAATCAAAGAGCACTCTCAACCCCACCAATGATAGAATTGGGCCAAACTTCTCACACTGAATTCCCAAGATGAACAGAAAATACTGTGTTTTCTGACAGTCTTTGGCGATCCCTCTGATACCTCCTCACAACCCCACCAGGGGTCCCGACCCCCAGGTTGAGAAACACTGCTATATAATGTCTTATTGTATGTCCACTTTTATACTCAATATTATTATTTCACCAATCCACCCCACTATATAAAAAGTCTTGATTTTTTTATTCTGCCAGAATTCTCTATTCATTTATCCAAGTCCATTCTCAAGATTCTTTTACACTAGGACATTACTTAGGAGAAAATTGTCTATTTTAGTTTAAAGTGTTTCTCCCATCTAAATGGACTCTCACACATTTTATATATGATTTGTCTATCAGTTTGAACAGAGCTTGAAGGTCTAAACATGTTTTTCTTTTGTTTCCATATAGTTTTTTTTGTTTTTCTTCAGTCTGAAGATAAGTTTGCATCAATTCCCCCTGGTTCAGTCACATCTCCATATACAGTTTGTAAACAGTTTGTTTCAAACTGTTTGTAGGGATCTACTTGTTTTTTCTTTCCCATTTTGTTTCTGTTTCTTTTATTTTTGATGTTGTTATCACTATTGGCGTTTCTTCCCTTGCAAACTATTGCTTTCCTTGGTCAGTCTGATGTACTATGACTTTTCCCCATTGAATCTGTTCTGCTTAAAATTTGATTAGCTTATTATTATTATTATTATTATTATTATTATTATTATTATTATTACTACTACTAGCCATCCCCTGCCACACATTGCTGTGGCCCAGTCTGTGTATATGTGTTTTGTGTGTGTGTATATGTGTGTGTATATATTAGTATATATATGTGATTTTGAACATGCGATGTAATGTATGTATGTATTTATTTATTTGCTTTTTAAGTCTCTTCCATGGTGTTTTTCAGTGTTTTATGAGTGATGGTCACTCGTTGGCCTGATAGGTGTATTGTGTCCAAATTTGGGGTCAATTTGTCCAGTAGTTTTTGAGTTACGTTAATCCCACAATTGAACATTACATTTTTATTTTTATAGATAATTTCCTTAAAGTTCTATTCATTTCTGTTTGCAGTTTGAGTCACCCCTTCCTTAAATTGCAATAACAACAGCTGTGACTATACACACACACACACACACACACACACACACACACACACACACACATACATACATACAAATTAAGAGCAAAATACTGAGAGAAGGTAACAAAACTTTACGTTCCAACAGCAAGTAACTGACTTATTGCTTATCTCCACTTGGAATATGGACTGTTTTCTTCCCTTTACTCTCTCATTTCAATGATTATTGATTTACAATTACTATCGCTCTGAGTATTTCATCTCTTCTTTTTCTTATTTTTGGGATTGTTGAAAACTGCCATACAATTATTAATAATGTAATTTTAAACCCACAGTTCAGTCTTCCTCTCTTCCATATCTCTCCCCCCCCCCCCCCCCCCAAATGATCTCATTTCCAAAATCCAGGAGAGATTTGTTATTAACTCAACAAAGTTGCTCAATTTTGCTCCCAATTTTGGAAAGTGTTCCTAAGTCTGTTGGGGATACAATAAGCCCAAATGCCCACAAACTGATGGTCAAACAGAAGGAGCAATTCAGGTTCTTGAACAATTCCTACAGTGCTACATAATCTTTCAATAAGACAATTGGTTGCGATGGCTTCCTTTTGCTTAGATGACTTATCATAATTCTGTGCAATCTACCTAGCACTGGGGCATTCACCRTTTGGAATTGTATATGGCCAAAAWCTTCAGGCATTGCTGACTCTTGAAATCATCCAGTTTGATTCATGATTTTGTKAGAATAGGCACATAAGAAATTAAGAATTAAATGGCCTATGTATTGTTGAAGCCTTTCATGGCTGGAATCACTGGGTTGTTGTAGGTTTTTCAGGCTATATGGCCATGTTCTAGAAGCATTTTCTCCTGGCATTTCACCTGCATTTATTTATTTACTGTATTTGTATACCACCTTTCTCAGCCTATCAGCGACTCAAGGCGGTTTSYAACWAWRCAGTATACATAATACCATAGTACAAATTAAAACAACATAAAACACAACAAGCAATAAAAACATCATTAACGTCTCCTTATTATCAAGCATTGTCCAGTTCCATCRTCAAATTGTCAGATTTCCTATATCAGTTAYTTATATCCGTTATTCTATATTTGTGAACACTTGCTCAAATAGCCATGTTTTAACTTGCTTCCAAAACGTTAAGAGGGAGGGAGCAGATCTAATCTCTCTAGGGAGGGTGTTCCATAGCCAAGGGGCCACCACTGAGAAGGCCCTGTCTCTTGTCCCCGCCAGACATACCTGTGATGAAGGCAGCATCTATGGCAAGCATCCTCAGAGGTTGTGAGATCTAAATGGCCTAGTTTCACAGAGAAGTTTTAGAATATGCCAAAGAGACCTACAAAAATTTTGTGGCTAAAATGTGGCAAGCTAATTTGGACCACCACCACCCACCTCACCCCACACCATTGCTACAAATGATGACTGATGGACACCAACACTTGGAAGTTTCTGACATACGGGATTTGTGGACTTGTCGGGGAAAATTGCAATATTATGTTAAATGGAAACATTTACTATCTGAAAATTTCTTGAGCCCTTTTACATGACAGAATTATAACATAAGTCTTCCACTGCAATGACCTCTGAGATTCTGGGATTTTGAATGTTTGGGTTTTCAATCAGAGAAATTAAAGGTCTAGGATTCTACAAGAGGTACCCAAAGGACAAACCCATCAGCGACAGCCCAACCTACTTGTGGGATAGCACAGAAGTTGAACACATTCTGGTTCTTCAGTCGGGACAGGTATGTCAAGACATCAGGGATGTGATGCAAGGCATTGGTGATGAGCTCATTCAGACACTGGACAGCTTTGTTGACATTCTCTGGCTTGGCCAGATCTGACATCGTCTTTGCATACTTACTCCACACCTGAAAACACCAAAGGGTTATAAATGCCAGGCAATCATTCATTTGCTGGGATGCTGGAATGGCACACCTAGAAGCTTGCTACTTCACCCTTTCCCCAAAAAGACACTGATAATGAAAAAATCTGTGATTTTGGTTTGCACACATTATTGCTGCATTTGTTCATGTATTAATTTTATGTACCTTCAAGTGAACTCAGGCTTATGGTGACTCTTTTGTAGAGTTTGCTTGCCAAATTTTCTTCAGGGTGTTGTCATTGTCTACTAGATTTTAAAACTTGTTGAAGTTTGAAACGTATAACCCCTTGGGTTTGACGTGGATGTGTGGGACTGGGTTGCCCCTGTTATGATCTTGTCATTGACCGTAATAAAGTTACTTACTTAATTATTGTCTACTACTTACACAAGAAAGATAGTGATTTGCCCAAGGTCACCCAATGGATTTCCAATGCAGAGTGGGAATTTGAACCCTGGTACCCCAGAATCCTCATCCAACATTTAAATGACCAGACCAGGCTGGACAAAGTGTGGCCCATCAGTCACCACCTCTGCAGCCCATTATGACCTCTGTCACTTCCTCCACATTTTACAATCTCCCAAAAACATTTTAAAAGAATCAGCACAATTTTTAGTAGTTTTGCCTTAAAATATGTGGAAATCCCCATACTAAAATATTCTTGAGCTCCATACAGAACGTCCCTCAAATTCCTCCAGCTTTTTCTCCAAGTGTTCACAGATCACTTTGACATGCTTCTGTGGCGAGAGAATTAGCCGTCTATGAAGACGTTGCCCAGGGGACGCCCGGATGTCTTGCAATCCTGTGAGGAGGCTTCTCTCATGTCATGCGCTCTGGCACCACGAGATGCAGAGCCAACCTTCAGAAATGGGGCCACAAAGTAGAATCCTCAACATGCAAGTGTGGAGAAGAGCAAACCACTGACCACCTGCTGCAATGCAACCTGAGCCCTGCCACATGCACCATGGAGGACCTTCTTGCGGCAACACCAGAGGCACTCCAAGTGGCCAGATACTGGTCAAAGGACATTTAACCAGCTACCAAACTCACAAGTTGTGTATTTTTCTGTTTGTTTGCTTTGTTCTGTTAGAAATGTAATATAATGGACTGGCTGCTCTGACACGACAAATAAATAAATAACTTTGACATGGAAAGCAATGGCAAATCACCAGGGGCTGCATCTTTTCCTGTCTCTCCAAGAACTGTCACTGCGTAGTCAAATGATGGACAAGTCCCTTCTTCTCTATTGTCCAAATGTGACACAGCCACATACGGACCCACAAGAACACTGGAAGACAATCATCCTCGGAAAGCGAGGGATGGCCTAAGACCCTAAGATTGTCCAAATACACAGCAAGAGCAAAAATCTCACAAGAGACCCCTATTTCTTCCTGCACATTGAGATAATGTGTCAGGGTTAGGGTTGGGATTAGTGTTAGCTATCAAGTCCAACCCCCTGATCCATGCCCATAGCCGGGGGGGGGGGGGGGCCGGGGGGGGCTTCAACCCCCCCCCCCGAAATTCTCATGGTGGTCTGCGAAAAGGCCTTACTTGTACATTATTTAAACTGTTATGTTTATTCATATCATGATCTGATCACCATGCTCAATATATCCCATATGCATGGGGGTATTGGGGTAACAATACAAAAGGTTTGCTAGGGTAGACCCTCTTTCACTCAGACTCAGCCCTCCCCCCCCCCCCCACAAATCCTGGCTATGGGTGAAAATTTTCACAATCTAGAACAGGGGTAGGGAACCTTTGGCCCTCCAGCTGTGGTGGACTTCAACTCCCACAAGTCCTTGAGGCTCGGCATTCGCCCCAAAGGCTTACCTTGGGGCGAATGCCGAGCCTCAAGGAATTGTGGGAGTTGAAGTCCACCACAGCTGGAGGGCCGAAGGTTCCCTACCCCTGATCTACCCCCTAAACAGTATAGCAGGAAACTCTTTGTGCGGTTTTTTAAGCATCTAGAGAAAGATTCTTAAAAAACCCTCTAGGTTACCCAACCACTCTTATCATAAAGAGGTTGCTTCTAATGTTTAAATAACACCTACCCATGTACCAACTTAAAGCCTTGGTTGTATTCTCTGCACACAAAGAACAAACCTGCTAATCCCTCTTAGTGACAGACCTTGAGATATTTAAAGATTGGAACCATGCTCTTGCAAACCGGCATGGTGTAGTGGCTGAGCATGACCTGTAGACCAGGGTTCAGTACCCTGCTTGCCTATGAAAACCTCTCTGGTTTTTCTTGGGCATCTCACACACTCCCAAAAAACCCTATGATAGGTTTGGTTTAAGGTCTCCATAAGTTGCAAAAACGTGAAAGCACACAACAACAAAATCATACTATAAATCCTCCTTCCTAGAATCATAGTATCCTAGAATTTGAAAAGACCACAAGGGCCATCCAATTCAACCATGCAGGAATAAACAATCCATGCCTACACAATAAATAGTCAGTAATTCAGGCTCCATTTTAAAACCACTTGAATCAGGAATACACTGAGGAACTTCTTCCTACTGTTTAGGTCAGTGGTTCCCAACTTTTTTTTTTAACAGGGATCACATTGCCTAGGGACCACTTTCCAACATTAGTACCGAAAGGGTTATGAATCAGTTTTTGGTCAACTTTAGATTCTATTTGGGGTGTTGATTCAGAAAATTGAACTGGATAGGCCACATCAGCTCTAGATACAGAACATATGTCATGGTTAGCAATAGAGAAGGAGTGGCAGCCGGTGCAAAAGGGGTGTAAATAAAATAAAATAAAATAAAGAGGAAAGAGGCTCACTGACCAGATTTTTGTCCTCATGGCTCACTGGTGGTCCGTGGCCCACAGGCTAAGAACCACTGATTTAGGTGGAATCTCTTTTCCTGTAGTTTGAATCCACTGCTCCATGTCCTAGTCTCAGAAGCACTGGAAAATAAACTTGCCCCTTCTCAATATGACATATTTCCAATATTTAATTATGTCTAGCATGACGGCCGACAGGGAGCTCTGGTGTGGGCTGGTCCATGAGGTCACAAAGAGTCAGAATACCCAGTTTCCTAAGCTGTTCCTGACAGGGCTTGGCTTCCAGAACTTTAACCCATTTTTATCACCCTTTTCTGGACATGTTTCAGCTTGTTGGTACCTCTCTTGGATTTTGGTGCCCAGAACTGATACAGGATTATTCCAAGGAGGTCTGACCACAGCAGAACAGAGTGGTCCTATCACACCTCTCAATTGAGATGTTGTATTCCCACTCATGCAACTCAAAATTGTTTTGACTTTTTCCAACTGTAGCATTACACTGTTGACTCATGTGTAGCTTGTGGTCTACTTCTTTGTATTTATTTATTTATTTATTTTATGTAATTTATTTATGCCCTACCTTTCTCTTCATGGCGACTCAAGGTGGCCAACAATCCCACACTTTGATCATAGTTTTAAGAAGCGGAATTAAATAATGCAGTGTGGATTAAGGAAAAAAAACCAGATCAAAATATAATAAACATACTGAAAATAGCCTTTAAAATTCACAACCCATAGTCTGGGAACTCCCTTCCAATTTGCTAAAAGTCCTAGATATATTTCTTTTCCTTTACTTAATTTCTTTCCCCTAACCTTCCTCCTAGGCCTGATCTTTTAGCTTCTAAAATGTGGGTGTTCAAGGCAATATAGTTGCTGTAGGGACTGAATGCAAAATCACACCACTTTTTACTCAGCTGTGGGCCTTCCTGGCCTCCAGTGACATTTGCCTTCTTTCCATGTCATCTGTCCCACCCTAATTTTCCTTACCTCTCGGGGCCAAAACTCTCTGCCTGCAAGTAGGTCTTCATGGTAATCCCGGATGATGTCGATTTTGTGCAGGAAAACTCCCATGGTGTTTGCGAGCTCTGTGTCCTGGCCAACAGTAAGGTCCTCCAGTTTGGACACAGAGAAGAGTTGAGAGAGGCCGATCCCCAACTGACCAGATGCGTAATGACAGTACTGGAAAAGTTCAAAAATATCAAGCTTTAGGACATAGCTAGGAAAACACAAAATTTCAGTGTGGGTTTGTACCAGTGTATCAGCAGTAAATAATGCAATAAAACAAGCTAGAGGTAGCTCTGTATGCCTGCATTCACTAGAAACCTTCACTGAATATCTATGAACAACACAATAAAGAGAAATTGAAAGTGCAGTGACACCTGTCTGACCAGTGACACATTACATTCTGTTATTAAAAGGCATTGATCTTAGCTCTGCCCTTTCCTCTCCTCTGCTTCAGTTTCCCCTGTTTATAGGTTTTCCCAATAGTGTAGATACCTTCTTTTGTATTATTTTTGGCTGGAGCATAAAAACCCTTACAGGCCAGCCTTAGTTGGTCTATTCCATTTCCTGTATAGAGCTCCTTTGCTGAACTCTTCCTTTTTCTGCAGCAGAGTTTCAGAGAACAGTGGCTTGGGTATTGTCTGGTAACCCTAGGCCCAAGCAATCCAAAAACAGGCAACCTTAGCATCTGCATTCAGCAGTATTCTTATACCAGCAGTCCCAGTGACATCAGAAGCTTTTGACCAGCTTAAGCTTCACAAGAAAGAAGACTGAGACAGTTTATAAGCAACAGCTTGTAAACCATTGCTTTGCACCAGAGCAGAAGACCCAAGGGAGATGACTGCAGCCAGCAAAAGCTCCTTTTGTAATGTACTGTTTTAAGTTACCTTATAATAGTCCTGGGTGGAGTTAACCCTTTATTCATATTATTTATTCATTATTCATCTTGCAGTAGAAGCATTTGGTTATCTTTTTACCTTGCCTAAAGTACCTCTGTGTGCTAAGGATCTTGATCTTATCAATAGGTATACAGATATACCTGAGTAAAGCCAGACACTATAGGTGTTCCAAAGGCTTGGGCATGCCATCATAAACCCTGTCCATAGAAATGAAAAGCAGTAGAAGAATGGAGCCTGCCAAAATGAAAAGTAACACTGTGCAGGTACAGCTGTACCAGGAGCTCCTATTTTGTTTGCTTTGCATTGAATGTTTGTTGTAGTCCTAAGTTTCAGGGACTCTGCAGATAGGTGGCTTCTTTTGGCTGCAATCAAAGGGCAAGCCACCTGTCAATTATCGTTAGGTTCCCTGGTCCCGCCCCCTTTTTGGGTTTTGGAGGGAATAGGAACCATTTTGAGCCAGTCCACACAGAGAAGCCTTTCATGCAGGACATAAAACCAGGAGCTCCTGTAGAAAGCTTCGTCTTCTACAGCTTGGCCGGGGAGAAAAAGCCCCATAGCTTGCCCAGAGAGATGCAGTCTCAGCACAGCTCTTTTGCTGAGGATTTTACAGCCTTACAGCTCCTTTGCTGAGGGAATCCGGTCCCATAGCATTTCAGCAAGCCATCACTGAAACCTGAACTCCTTCTTTTCCCCTGGAAGTCTACAAAGCTCTGCTTGGTAAGGGTCACTCGTGGAAGCTAGAAGCAGTTGGTACCGGGTGCAGGGGCTCCACACCAACAGAGGCAAAGACAGACTGCCCAGGTTAGAGGTTAAGGATTTCCCCATTAGTTAAAATACAGTTATGAAGATAGTGCCTGTTCCCTGTGGACAAGATTGAGAGAGCCAATAGACTATTAAGAAAGCCTTAAAGTACCTGTTTGATTTCAATAATAAAGAACTTTGTTGAACCTTTAAGCAATCTAAAGACTCTGTTTAAGGAAATCCAAAGGCCTTTAATCTGAGGCAGCCCTGGCGTCCCGTTGGACACACAGAATTTATGTCCTGTCTACAGTCTTATGCACAGGCCCAGCGTGCGACAGCACAAACACCCTACTCCTGAAAAATGCGTCTTCTCTCCATCTTTGCATGCTGGCAAGAAGAATTCCTATGGATGACAACCAAAAGTGGCTGTGTGTCATGGGATGGTCTCAAATGCCAGGGTGCGAAAATGGAGAGAAAACCAGGAGGGGAAATGTCTTACATGGTATAAGGTCCTATGAAGAAGCCTTCAAGTAGTTTCCAGAAGGTTTAAATTATTTTCCTTTACCCATGAAAGAATGATTTGATTCAGTTGTATATTTCAAGTGTGCATGCGGTTCCTTCTGAATAAAAAAAATCTGTAGAAACATGTTGGCCTGGGCTCCCTTCTTGTGATCCCTATCCCAATTTCTGCCTTTGCTACTAAATTTTCTCTTAAGAGAAAAAAAATGCCAAGGAACACAGCTACTTTGTAAAATGAGGTATCATTGTACTAGACTGGGGAAGGAAGAAACCAGAAAAGCAGCTTTCCAAACATATGTCTGACATGGAAGCTTTTGGCACATTCAATCTCTATTTTGACAATGTTTGGTGCTGCTTGGAAATTGGCAAGTGGCTTGCAAAGCTTATGATGATAAAAACTATGATGACATTGTTTTAGATGTCTTGCTTTTCTCATATGCAACGGGGATGGGCTTCCGCCTGAGAACAGGTAGATCTGTCCAATCTTCAGATGTTGATTTTTATATTATTGGGTTGTAGGTTTTTCAGGCTGTATGGCCATGTTCTAGAAGCATTCTCTCCTGACATTTCACCTGTATCTATGGCAGGCATCCTGGCAACTATGGATGCCTGCCATAGATACAGGTGAAACGTCAGGAGAGAATGCTTCTAGAACATGGCCACACAGCCCAAAAACTGACAACAACCCAGTGATTCCGGCCATGAAAGCCTTCGACAATACATTATATGTTATTATTTATCCCATTTATCTATTTATTTATATCTCACCATTCTCCCAATATGGGGTCCCTGGTGACCTTACCAAATCTTAATCGCCAGCTGCAATAAATCTTACTAACTGAAAGGTTGGTAGTTCGAAACCAGGGTCAGGGTGAGTTCCCGACCTTCCAGGCCAGCTCACAGCCCACCTAGTAGTTTGAAAACAGGTACTGCTTACGCAGGCAGGTATTCTATGTCAATATAAAAAGGAAATACCAGCAAATGCTGGCAATTAAAAGCAAGGAGTCTGTGATCGGGACTCTTCAACATGGAGGATGGTGTGACAGCACCCCCTGTGACTGGAATCGAGCATAACCTCCAGGACGCCAAACATGGGAAAATACCTGTGTCTGTCTATCTGTCTGTCTGTCTATCTGTCTGTCTGTCTGTCTGTCTGCCTGTCCTATCTGTATAACGGCATTGAATGTTTGCCATATATGTGTTCTGTGATCCACCTTGAATTCCCTTCGGGATGAGAAGGGTGAAATATCATGATTTTATATTATCTTAATTGTTTTATTATATTCTTATGCTTTGATGTTGACTGTAAACCATAGGCTTGGGTAACCACGGAAAAATTTGGTTCTAAACTCGTTTTGTTTTTAGGGGGCCCTTGTGTTTCGTTTTTTTTTATAATTCCGAAATTTTCCTTTTAAAAATTTCGAAATATACGAAATTTCGTAAAATTACGAATCGATTCGTTAATGGCAGATGCAATTGCGCAATATGCTAAAAAACCTCCAAATGGGACAGGGGAACTTCTGGGGGGGGGGGGGGCAAAAAAAAAAAGGAGGGGGCGGGGGCCTCTAGGCATTTCTCTTGTGTCGTACAAACCCAAATAACGTGACATTCTTGAGCTACACACAGTTT